TTTTTTATAAAGTACCAAATCACAACAACGTTTCCCTCAAGAAACCTTGTTGTAAGGTGAAGCCCCCACAGTGACACAGAGGACACACCAACAATCAGACAACTGCCTTTGTGCAAGAATTTGGCAACAGTGAGAAGGAAAAACTCCTTTTTACCAGCACAGTCAGACTCAGGCAGGGGCTGCAATTTGCTGCAACCAGTTAGGGGTGAGGGGGTGAGGGGAGGGAGACAGTACAGAAGACACGCCGTGGAAGTGAGAGGATGTGAACTGAGATGACTGAAGAATAAAAACACTCCAAGCAGCCTAGGCTTACCTGATCCAGCCCTAACTATGCTTTAGCAAAAAGGAAAGTTTCAAATTTAATCTGAAAAGTAGAGATAGAAGAAGGACCTGAGAGCTGAAGGCTCTGCCTCCCATTCTGCTTTTAAAAGCCGAGGAACCAGCTGAAGGTCTGCGACACTAACTGTTAAACTAAAAAGGGGTTTGGGGGGAGTTTTTAGTTAAGCTGATAATAATGAATGACGATACTCCAGCCAAGGAGTAATACTTGCATAAAGTAGCTTTTCAGCGTCACTCTAAGGCAGGATATTTCTAATTTAGAGATGCTGTGCAAATGCAAGAAAACACCTTCTAAAAGTAGCGGTGATGCTCTCTCTGTCTTCAACTTTATATTTGAAATAAAAGCAGTTATCCTGTTTATAAACAAGCTTTGTTGCTTACACAGAGAGAAACAGGAGTAGATGTAGATGTTAGTCCCGCTGGTGACATGAAAGCAAACTGGAAGCAAGATTTTGATTTATTACAACCTTTAAAAAGACTCTTAATGCAAAACTTCCTAAATGTAAAAAAAATTAAAAAGAAACATGTGTTAAAGTGCATTTTGTACACACTGGTCCTGCAAACACATTTAAGAAGACTGGACTTAATTAAAGCAGGAAATGATGTCATCAGAATTATGGCTAATATAGCAGTCAATTAAGTGTGCTCCTTAAAAGTGCTACTGCTATTTCATTTGGTGCTCTGCTCTCTGTAGGTCAAATATATCCAATCTGTAACTAACTGACTTTAACTAAATGTTAACATGAAAGTAAAGCTTCAAAACAACGTCTGCTTCTTCCAACAGCATTCAGATTTAAGAAAGCACTACGACTGCATGCTGTTGGTCTCTTTTGTCATGAAACTCAATGATCCCTGAAATCTAATCTTTAGTCTAAAAAACAACAAAATAGAAATTAATTATTATGTGAACATGGAATCCAATAAACAGTCCAAAAAGCCAAAACTGAGGTTTTCCTTAAAAATGCCTTCTTCTGATGTCCAGCTTTAAATAATGTATTTGCATAGTGATCAAACTGAACGGTAAGCGAGGTATTTACCTCCTTGAGACAGCCCATGAAGTTGTTGCTAACTGGAGAACCAGGCAGGTCGGCTGTGCTGGGGCTCCCACCCACATAGAAGAAGTCATCAGAGCCCAGCATGGTGTAATCCTCCTGGGTGTAGCCTGTAGTCGTCAGAATCCCATCCACTGATATCGTCACCTGGCAAAAAGGAGTAAAAGCGAGGTGAGGCAGAATGTTTTTGTTTTGAGTTTAAGATAGAGCGGTCGCTGCTATTTGAGGGCACACTCACACCTGGATTATCTGTGTTACTGATGACATGAGACAGATGATGAGAAAGTTATGCCAGACCATTTGATTTCTCTCTTTTTTCAGTTAGTAAATTTCTGTTTGATTGAATATTTCTTTGTTGAAACGATGCTTCTTATATCACTAGAAGGCCTGTTTATTGTGCCACATTTATAAGAAAAATGAATTTGTGGATCGAGCATCAGAGTTGAGAATGTGGATTAGCACAAGACAAACAGCTTATTCTGTGACGGACTCTTGTGCTGAGCTGCTGTTACCCCAGGTGCAGTGCTGACAATCCAATGCCTGATGGGCACTTGATTAGCAGCACCTATGAGCATGGACCTGGTGATCAGTTGATATCTGCTCACATCTGACTGAGGGCCAGTGCCACAGGGCATCATCAAGCTAGTGTATTGAAAGCCAAGATTCATATAGCAGAGGATGTCAGAGGTGTGCCAAAATGAAAACACAGGAAGAAAGTGGTTTGAGCCGAGGTTTGCAGGATGATATGGCTGGTGGCTCTCTACCCATTAAAATTTGTGAGAGACTGAACAGTCAATCTCCAGACTCCTAGAGCAGCCATGACTGTCCTTTACTGTGTGCTATGTACATATGGATGAACCTGCACATGTGGAGGAACATTATGCTCAGCAATGAGTCCAGATTCTGTCTACAGCAGTTGGATCATATGGTGATTGTTGCACTGATAATAGATAACTGTGATGGTGTCGGACGTCATCTCCCTCACTGGTAAAAAGGCTTGTCATCATTGGAGGGGAGGCAACTTCAATGCAGGGAGATAGTGAGATACAATCTGTAACCAGTGGCTACGTGTGGTTCTTCCACATGATACCGAGGCCCTGTTTGTTAAATGGATCGACTGTTAAATTCCCAACATGTCTTGTTTCTTCAGACTTCAATCATCCAATGACACCAACCAAGAGTCAATAGCACAAAGCTGCTTGGCATTGGCAGAGAAGATTTTCTCGGGTGCAGCTCAGATACTCAACTCTGCTGCTCAACCCACAAATCAAACTTCCCTACAAATGTGCCTACAAATGTGAACAGGCTTATCAGCAGTTTAAGGTTTGCCAAGAAGCACTGTTAAAACAAAGAAATAATCGATCAATCACTTTGTGTGATTTTGCTGTCTGTGTAAAATAGTAAAACAATATGCTCTTCAAGCAACAAAAACATGCATTAATGTTCATATGTAACTAGTAATCAAGCAAGCAGATGATCTGATTTTCTGTTGCATGTAAATATAAATATAATAAATATAGAAAAGAAAATAATGAGGATGAAACCAACCAACCAAGAGGAAAGAAATGCTGAGCACACAGAATAAAAGAGTGCAGGCCACATTGCAGGACATGGGAAAATGTAGTAATATTGTAATAATAAGGAATAAAGTAACATTGCTGTGAGGACCTCTGGTTCTACTGGTAAGATTTATGGTTTAAAAAGATGTTACCAGAGAACTCGAGACTTAAATCTTCCAGCTGCATGTCTTGCATGCCAATAACTCAACTGCCAAAGCAGTAATATATGACAGGAAAACCAATGAACTCGGAGTTTGACTTTGTAAATCCAAAATATCATCATCATCATCATCTGTGATCCTATTTGCATGAGCTTATTTCATAATTAGCAGAAGAATTCTTAAGATATGATCAAAAACATGTTTTCAAAGGTCACGTTGATCTTCGACCATCAAAGGAGAACATTTGTGCCGAAGTTGAAGAAAATAGTATTAGATTAGGCAAGCTGCTTCGTTAGCATGCTAAAGCTCACTAACAGCTCAGGTAGTGTTGTTTCCAGAGAGATACATTTTCTTTGAAGACTTCTTTTCTTGTATTTACAAGTCTGTTCAATCAGTGTGTAATTACCTCAAAGCCAGTACTGTTACTGCAGCAGGTACTTATCTATTATGCTCCAGCATCCTGCTCTATTTCATATTTTACATATAATTTTACAGGATATAAACAGTATACAGTAAACTATTATCTGAGGTGTAATGTGGATTACTCTCTGTTTCAGCTTCTTTCCTTACAGTTTTTCTGTTACAAGATTTGCCATTTGGTTATTATAGCACATAGGTGAACATTCAACATAAACAGGTTGATGTCAGCCTAATCTTAACCAGGTTGATGTTAAGAGGTTAACAAGAAATTCCAAAATGAAAAACATGAAGTTGATTTAAAACAAAAGGAAGAAGAGACTAAAAGGAAAATGAAGAAGTGAGCAAAGGAGCCAAAGAAAGCCCAGATCAGAAGAGCAAAGTGAACCTGCTCCCTTGTTTTTAGAGGAGTGCTATCTAAGGGCACAAAAGAAAAGAGGAAAGATCGAAGTACACAGCAAACCAAAACGACGATAATAAGAATGATATCTACCATACAATGGAGTTTGTTTATCACACCATATCCAATGCCTGTTTGCTTTGCAGAAAGATGGGGTGGGTAAGACAAGTTTATATGACTGAACAGCGGCTTTGTTCATACAAAGTATATCAGTTGATAAAAAGTGGCGAAGGACAGAATCATGAGGGTAAAAACGACCCACAGATGCATTCATCACTTAAACTCATAGCTTTGTTGCTAGTGGCAGTCAGCAGGACTACCAGCCTGTTTGTAGCTGTCAGTGTGCTGTCGTCCTTGTGTTCTACAGGGTCTATTCAGCTGCTGGTGACCAAAACACTGACCTGTTCATATCTTAAAGTACACCTGTGCGCCTTACCTGCCGGAGGTTGCGGGTCACTTTGACATCGTGCCATGAGTTGTCATTAAACTTCCCATTGACCGGCTCCACAATGGCTTCAAAGGCTCCAGAGCCCAAGTTGATAACGAGGGAGACAGCTCCGTCCTTTAACGCCAGATTGACGTAGTCAGCTGACTTGCCGGTGTGAAGAATAAGGCCGTTCCGCTGCCACGTCTTAAAGGAGAGCGTGATTTCATCGCTACTGCTCTGGATTGGGTTCTGGGAGAGATCGTAGCAGAAGTACTCTGAGCCACGGAAAGTCGCCACATTCTCTTCTCTTGCTATAGTAAGAAAAAAAGATTGTAGTGAAGAATATGTTTCAATAAAGGTTAACATTTTAATCTTTTTTACATTATATAACATATAATATAATGAACATATATATTATATAATAAAGATATCACTTTTTCAAGATATAATATGATAATATCTTTACACTTTATCATATCATATTTGTATTTACAGGATTTTTTTCTTTCTTTCTTTTTTGCTTACTAAGCAATCGGGTGAATATAAAAGAAAAGAAAGAAAAAAACATGTTGAATAAATTAGGACAGGTCAGTTAAACCATAAAGATATTCTTATGTGAATAAAAGGAATATCAATGTGATAACTGTATAAATATGACCCTTCAGAAATATCGGACATGACAGAGCAAAAAGCAAAACCTGCAAAACCAGGTGCTGAGAGGAACAGAAAAAGGAACAGCTGAGGGATAACACATGTAAGGTGTTATCTTCAGTTAACTTTCTGTCTCTAAAGCAAGAACGCTGGACACTTTGATCAAACAATATTACCAGAGGACTCCAATACAAGGAGCTGCATGAGTACAGGTTTCATCTATTTCATTGGGGGTGTTGTTTAGAAACAATATGCACACTGATTTCATCATCATCATCATCATCATCATCAAAATAACAACAATAATAATAATATTAGACAGTTAATAATAATTAGTTAGACAGTGAAACATGCAAACATGACAAAGGAAGTATGAGCCTGCTGAACACCTGAAATCTGTTAAAAAGGATTTTTTTTTTATTTATTTTTTTTTAAAAAGCATTTTGGGATAGATTTACTAATGTGTTGTGTCACCACAAAATTGGTTTGGTGTAAAAAGAAAAAAGAAAAAAAATACTGGTGATACAGTCCCGATCAAAAGTTTAAGAACACTTGAAAAAATGGCAAAAACTCATATTTTGTATCGTTGGACCTTAATGTTCCAAGTTGAACTTCAACATGCAACAAGAAGAAATGGGAGTGAGACAAAGCATTTTTCTAAGCATGCAGTTTATTGAAAACAATGCTTGAATACAGAGGAGAGGAGAACGTGCACAGTGCTGAGGGGCTTCAGTGCTGATGCACTCAATGTCCAGGATGTGCTCGCATTAGTCTCTGGAAGCAGGCTTGACTGTTTAACTAAGAGTAACTGGAATCTTAAGTCAGTTTCATGAGCGTGTCCATGAACCATTAACAAACTTTGGAGCAGAGGAGAGCAGCTTTCTCAGAATGTGGACACTCTTCTAGTTTTCAATGGGAGACTGAGAGCAGATCGGCGTGCTAGAAACGTTGCCAATAGCTCTGCTTTCACTGCTTTGATATCACTTACATTTATTGTAAACATGCAGTACACAGTACAAGCAATTTACTCTCTGATTTATCGTCTTAACCGATACGTTTTTTAAAAGTTTTTTCTTTTAATAACTCATTTAGCACAAGGAAAGTATTGATGATGCTGTCGTGGTACTGAGTCTATGACCCAGTGTTTCTGCTTCTTGTGCCTCCCTGTGTAGTTAGCATGTATGCTAGGTTCTGTCTCTATGTTTACTCATCTGTTTCCCACACGTATCTCTCCTTCTGTCTGTTCCCTGCATTCATTCAGTCCATGTCTTAGTGTGTGTCTGTTTGTTTCCTGTTTTATTTTGATAGTCTCCTATCCTGCGTGCATTAATGTCAGTTATTTTCCTGTCCCGTTAGTCTGATTATTTCCAGCTGTGTTTCCTCCGTTTCCCATTCTCTGGTTATCCTCTGTGTATTCAGTCCTCTGTCTTCCTCTGCTTGTTGTCACGTCGTCCCTCGTTGCTATGAGGTTTCACTGTGCTCCTCAGTTTCCTCATTACTCCCAGCTTCTAGCTTGGAGTTCCTAGTTTCCCAGTTTAGGTTGTGTTTTTTTGTATCTAGTACTTGAGTTTTGAACTGCCAATAAAGCTGCCTCTTTCAGTTTACTCCCTTGTGTGTGAGTTGAGTCCATTTGAGTCCAACTCCTGCCTCTGCCTGTCACACAGCGATCTGTGACAGGATCTCTGGTTTCATACAGAGGTATAAGCTCAACCAGCATGTTCAGATTAACATCAACAGAACCAAAGAAACAGTCCAAACAGAACAGAAAACCAGTCCAGAGGGTTGGCCTGGCCAAGGGGCAAAATTGAGGCCACGTAGCGATTAAGGGGACTGACGGGGAAAAACAGTTCTTGGGGTCAACCATGGAGCCACCAGTGGCTTGGCAGGAGGCTGTCAGTGGATGTGGAGATGATTCACTCAAGGCAAATGTTGACAGAGACAATGGTGCAACTCAGGTGGCAACTGCGAGGGTCAACGTTAATAGAGAGGAAGACACCTTTGACAGGAGGTCAAAGATGGCAGTGAAGACTCTCAGGTGGCATGGCTGGAGGCGGAGCGGCAGAGGAAGGTACCCCTTAGGTGGTGAGGGCGAGGGCAACGAGACACTCCTGATGACCACCCCTGATGACCACCTCCAACGAGCCCTTCAACTCTTACAAGACTTTTAGTAGATCCCCCTATGGTATCAATTTCAAAATCCTACATTGCCTCATTCTCAAGTTACCACATTGATGAGCTTGGGTGTAAATGCTGCCCACCTGCCACTAGTGTGGATGCTGTGATGTCAACGCTGAATGGGTTTAATCCTGTTTTAATTTAAGTTAGTGTGTCGTGTTGATACCTCGTTTACAGTGTTGGGAAGGTTACTTTTAAAATGTATTCCATTACAGATTACAGATTACATGCCCCAAAATGTATTCTGTAACGTATTC